GTATATGACGGTTCCGTATAGGATGCAGGTTCGAATCCTGTCAAAGAACGAATATTTTCTATGAAAATTTCTCGGACATTCAGGCCGGTAAATGTTATTTAATACTGTTTATCATAAACAGAGCATTTGCTTAAATACTTGTATCTATAAAATAACAACGTTAAACATAATAAAATGTCTTTAATAAATAAATTGTCGGACCTTGTCCATTTCTTTATTTATATATATTCATATATTCTTTTTACGCTGAGGTTCACGGGAAGAACTCTCACCAATGGGCTACAGAGGAAATGAGGGGGTTCGCTACAACCGCGTTAGCGTGTCGTGTCCTAGAATTGGTGGAACGTAGGGTTATAGTTTGTCTTCGTACTTTCCATGGACGTAGCGACAGAGCAGGAAGTTGTGAAAGATGCCTTGCAGGGTGGAAAATAATTTGTCAGCCCCAAAGACGGTGACGCTTTTGAACTCTACCGAGAGTGGAAGGTGAATATTGCGCAGCTACTGCCTAAAGATGACATCGATGCTCCATTTTAGGCCTGATCTGTCTCTTGTAAACGGAGAGGATAATGCGAGCAGTCGAGTATTTACCGGAGCAGTACAGGGAACCGAATATCTTCCAGCATCCATAGCGATGGATCGTAGGTACGTGTTCTATCTATCTATCTATCTATCTATCTATCTATTTGACGCTGTTAATATCTAACTACTGTTCATATCTATCTATCTATCTATCTATCTATAAGTGGACACTGAAACCAACACCGAATTGCGACAATCTGTTTCGTATTTGAAAGCAATGTCCATGGCCTGAAGGTCGCATTCACACATTAAATAAACTGTTTCCGCCCAGTGTTGACCACTGGATACATTTTTATATTTATACACAATCTTTCCCTGTCATTGAATGCTTTTACCCTGGAATATACAATACCTTGAAACTATATGTTTATTATATATATATATATATATATATATATATATATATATATATATATATATATATATATATACTGAGTATAACAGCAAAATTGTCTATCCCCAAAATGTTTAATATCTAAACGACCACTAAACTAATTGAGTTCCTTTTTTTCATTTTTAGATAAGACGTTTAACCATCTTGACACTGGCTTTTTGAGCTAGAAAGGGAACAGATTAAAATCATTTTGTGTCGGCCACACAGTCTTCCCAGATGAGCAATGATTAGAGGAAAATTATCATCACGCCTTCAATAATGGTACCGACATTCATACTCTGACTTCCATCTTGAAAATCCATTCAAGAACCATCAAGAAAACGGTGAATAATTAAAAAAAGAGGGTTCAGTAGAGAGGAAATCTGGATCAGGTGATCACAACAGCAAGAGAGATCATCATTTCAACTTAGGGCTAAAGAGATCAATTAGAAAAGATCCAACTCAATCCATAAGAGGTTTGGCACGTGAGAGAGGAGTTTCAGTCAGGACAGACCAAAAGGCAGTGAAAAAAGACTTGAAAATAGAATCGTACGTGAAACCTGTGACTCACTTTGTTAATCCCAGCCAGAAAGTTAGAATGTTAGAGAGGCCGAAGATCATCTTGAAAAAGTTGGAAAGTGACCGTGAAATAAATATATATATATATATATATATATATATATATATATATATATATATATATATAAGAACTTTATTCCAATCCTTCATGAGGTTTCAATCCTTAGCCATGATTAATTAACGATGAACATGTCATTTTCGTTTACGATCGATTTCACCCCAATTCTTCTGTTAAGATTGGAGAGTATTTATACATTCTTATTGCTCAAAATAGAATCCATTGGTGTTTATAAAAACCTCGGAGAATTCTAGTAATGTATCTTTAAGCATTTCTAAGATACAACGGTTCAAAGATTAATCTAACAATTGAACAATTTTGCTGTTACACCCGGTATACATATACCTTTTTTTTTTTCATTTTTCTTTTTAATTATGAGGATACGGCAAGTAAGTCCTTAGAACCCAACAGGCTACTCGCACATATTATTTGATCATAGTGATGAACGTTTCTGCAGAACCAATCAAACTTTTTGGAAGAACTGATTACAGAGAACTGATGCACGAACAAAAATTACTTGGACATTTTACTCTCCTAATTGGATTGTACTAACTCCATTTTTCACTTTAACTGATAAATACATATAGCAAGAAAATTTCTTCAAAATTCAAACACAATTCTCACGTGATCGATTTGAACAAGAACTCTAGCGTCGTGACATAGCACGCTTCAAAAAATATATTCAACTGTCAATAAATAATATAATTTAATAAATATCTTTCGCTCTACACATATTTTGTCTTAGTGTTTGCCTATGTATGGGGAAAATAGCGCCTTGAAGATGACAATTTGAAATTGTCGAAAGTACTTTGTATGTGTCCTCCAACTGACAACAACTCGAATATAAGCATCTTATTATTCAAGGAATTGATAGTAAGTTAATGTCTCATTAAGTTCTGTTAGCGAAATGATTTTGCCATTAATCACATTAACATTGCTATTTAATTCTTTTTATAAATTGTTTATATATATATATATATATATATATATATATATATATATATATATATATGCATTGTTGTGGCCTTGTTGGAGCCAGAAATAAAGACACAGAGAGGAACTGAGCTAACAAATATATTAACAGAAAAGCAGTATCTGTCTATATTTCTGAGATGAGGTATTATGCACATTATTTACAGTATTCGGACTATTGTCCTTATCTTTGTCGCTATATTTATCATGATCTAACCAACGCCTTTATCCACTGTGCCATGTGTCCTTGAGGACACATGGCACAGTGGATAAAGGCGTTGGTTAGATCCAGTGACAGGACCCAAAGAGTGTAAGTTCAATACCCGGTTAAGGCAGTGGAGAACTTTCAGAGGGAAATTAACAGAAGATAACTGATAGCTGACATCCATCAAACATGGCACGTGGAACTAGAACAGTCTACCCCAGTGAGCGAAATAAAGGGTTCAGTTCGACATTTCAACTACCTGAAGAAGGCTGGACCGTACAACGGCCGAAACGTTGTAATAAATATGGCGACAAAGATGAGGAATAATGTAAATAGTGTAAAAGAATCCCGAACATTTGAATTGATATAATGACGATGTTTTGGGGAAAAATTTCAGGAATATCATGGAAGTCAATTATATTTAGTTTATTTTTCTTATCAATTTTTTTTGCTACCATTTCTAATTATTTTTAAGATTCAAGAGTACATAATTTTAAACTAATTAAAAAGAATGGTTCTTTTTCATTCTTACTTTGAAAACATTAGGAATTTATTTTCTTTTGTCTTGGCAAGAGGATGGAATATTTTAATGTATAATTTGTTTTTCTATATATTGAGCATGTTGCTTTTTATTTTTGAATTTTTTCCTTCTTTTTTGTATGTGTATTGCGCGTTGTGTTTGTCTCCGTGTCTATAGGTGTGGATATTTCTGTAAAATATGTATTTCAGTTCACTATGGCGATTACCTATGGCTATTTTCTGAATAAATTTGGACATTTTGCTTCTGAATGAATTAAATATTTGGTGGAATGTGTTGACCTTGGCTCGCAGCCGACCTGTGCGCCGATCAGGTTCAAAGTTATTCTAAACAATTGTATATTATAAAGTACATTTTATCGAATAAAAACGAAAGTATTTTTCCTCTAAACATGGCGGTTGCATTCGTGACATTATGAAAAAAAATTCCAATAGAATTTTAAAATATTATATTCTAATATTCTCTTTCAGTCGTCTTAATTTTCGAGGAAACTCTGTTTATCTTTTTTTCCAAAAAATCAAATTTTTTTTCATGCGTAAAGTTGTTCAGCGTTAAGAGTGGCTGTGGACAAAAGATGCAAAATATTCGTAAAGAAATTCGTGTTTTTCTTTCTTGGATGTCAGCAAAATAGTTGTAATAGAGACTTGGTAATCGCAGCTACAACTATAGTAACGCCGTTGAACAATGCTGGTGTCAGACGCCTTCGAATAACACTCGAACTAATAGGAGTTGCTCGATAATACTCGCTTGAATAGTGATCCGAATAGAGAAACAGTATAGTGAATAGAGTAGAGAATAGCGGTCTGTAGAGTAATAGAGGGTAGACTAGAAAGAAAGATCAATTACACACAAGTTACCTCCCATATATGCGTTTCCTCTATGTTTACGTGGTATATTTAATTCAATAATGGGATCGCCTGTGTTTGCTCACTGGCGATCTATGTTCAAACTCAAGTGTCGGAAGCTACACTTTATTCTTATATAACAAAAGTACTTTTTATCGACATATTTTTTGGGTGGAGGCAGTCATTTCTTTTGTTTTGTTTCAGTCTCAACCCAATAAGATCGCTTGTATACCCAGCCAACAATTTGACGTGTAAATTTGTAAAATTACAAATATTTTGAAAATACAAATGGCCACCTCCATACTCAAGAGTTAAAAAACATAGCATGTTCAGATATCAAAACTCGGTGTATCTTAAAATTGACCTAAAAAACACAGTGAAAATTTGTCGAGTGGAATAATTGTAGAAGATTAGGATGCATTAGACCTTCTGCATGTTACATTTGTCAGAAAGGAAAATATTAATTTAGAATGGCGGTTCTGTCTATAATATAAATCTAATGACAAATTGATCTCTAGCTTTTAAGTGTTAACTGTACTTTGTGTTTTTTTACGCCGTAAAATCGGCCTTGTTCCACAATCCGTTCTTGTGAGTGCATAAACAAATACCGTCTAGGTTTGATAAACTGAATGATTTCTTTCAACGGTCTATCAACCTCAAACAAGAAAAGTAAGTATTTTTTAAATTATAATAATGCCTTACTCTCATGATAATAATGATTCAACAAGTCCTACTAACTAAACCATAGCTGGGGGGAGCATATATTTATATCTGTTCCAAATGTATTTGCGCGTAAGTGAAATATAACGAACGCGACTGGAATTGAAACTTGAATTTCCACACATCCAACC